ACTGAAGCTCAAATATGTGATGAATCCAATGATCCAATGTGTTTCAGTGAGTACTCACCTGTGCATGCAAATCTGATTTCATCTTTAGTAAGTAGTAAAGTTTCTTTTAGCAATGGGGAAACGATTTGCTTAAGGATATAAAACTGAAGTTGGACAAGAGGCATGGACTTTGTGAAGTCTTGAGGTCTACTGAGAGCATGATAAATATGGTTGATAACAATATACTGTATTTTAAAAGTTGTGAGATAGTATACTTTAAGTGTTCTCAAAACAAAAATGATGAATATGTGAGATATAACATGTTAATTGGTTTAATTTAGCCATGCCATTGTGAACATACTGTATTAAAAAATAAATAAAAAATAAAAACATGGAAGTGTTTCATTAAAAATGCAAAATCAAGTGAAACATAAACCACTGATACAGATGTAAACAAAAATGAGATGATGGATGAGAAATAGCACAGAATATTGATCACTAAAAGAATAAGGAAACCATTTCAATAATATTAACATTATTTAAAATAAAGATGAAGGTACATAGAAGAAATTCAGAGGTTAAAATACAGCTTAGTGATTCATTATGGAGTAAACCTCCATACACAGATCAACCTCTTTATTAATGAACCTTTCCCCATTGAGGAGGCTGTCTTCATTGATGGACCTCCTCCCCCTTATTTATGTGCACAACTTCCATCCAATACTCCTACCTGCCTCTGGAATTCCCTATTATTTTAGCTTGTTTATGAGATCATTATTTTCAGATACTTTATACAATAAGTATAATTGTTTCTAAGAATTTTTGACAATATTAAAGATAATTTCATATAGAATCAGAAGTTATACTTAAGATGTTTAACAATAGATGTTTAGAGAATTTGGTTATTTTCTGCCTACGCTCAATTATTTATATTCTGGTTTCACGTTCATTGCTGTGGTATCACAATATAATCATATGCTGACCAAAAGCAAAATATAAGCTGTTCTACTTTGCTTTTAGTTGCTTTTATAAACATCATGATCTTCAACAACTTGAAGGAGAAAAAGGATTGTTGTCAGCTGTTCTGGTAGCAGTCTGTCATTGAGGGAAGTCAGGGTGACAAAGCAGAAGGAGGGAATATAGCAGAGATCATGGAAACATGATACTTCATGGTTTATACAGCTTTTTTCACTGCATAACACAGGATCAACTACAAAGGATGATACTGTCAACAGTGGGCTTGATGCTTCTACATCAATTAACAAGTAACATATCCCCCCATATGCCTTCAGTCTTATATCATCTTGATAATTGAACAATTGGGCTTTCCTGTTATAAGGTAATTCTAGATTTTGCATTGTTGATCACAAAAAAAACAGGATAATATATTTGATCAAATTTAGGTTAATGAGCTCTAACTGCTTCAAATAATGATTTTTGCATTATTTGCATTCAAGTTTTTAAAAAATGGAATCGTTTTCATTATTTTACTTGTAAATAAAAATAAAATTTTATTTATCATTAGAATATCAGATGATTAGATATTTGTAAATATTATCTATGTCAAATATATTATAAATGTCAAATATATCTATAACTTTCAACTTCTTCAATTAGTTTTTGGAAATTTTGTACAATGTATTTTGATATATTTATCAATTCCATAACTTCTCCAAGATAATCAAAATATTCAAAATTCTACCTTTTAAAAATATAAAGTCTATTTTCATGAACTATGTGCAATAGTACATAAAGATTTCTCATGAAACCATAAGCAGTGCCAATTAATTTCTCTTTTATTTTTGTGAGTTGGCTCTATGGGGCTCACTAAGCACAAAAGCAGAAATATTTAAGAAAAAATAGAGGAATCATGATTAGAATTTAAATTGATTAAAGTTGAAAATGAGTGAATGAGGCATTAGATTTGGTATTCTCTTTTCTGGACATGTATAGGAAGACTGAGCATGCAATAAACTAGTAGAAAACAGCAATAGATCCTTGACATTGGGTGACAGTTATGCGTGCAATGAGTTTGACATGCATACTGCTCAGACAGTGCTCTTGCAATTACCTAGTAGATGACATTCCTTTTTGGAAATATCCCTTGTCATATTTCTTTCTATTACTACAATACCTTATGTCTTTGTTTAACTTACATCTTAGTATTTTTAGCATGATAGTCTTCTAGTTTTCATTTCTTACAATCACATGACTAAAATTTATTTTTAAAATTAATCCAACACTGTAAGAGTGATCAATTAAATATACTGACAACTAGAGAAATGAATAACCATTCATACCCTCCTCATATTCATAAAAATTATGATAGCATATTAAAGAAAGAAATGCTGAGTTAAGTTGTCACATGTAATATGCCTCAAGTTCAAAAATACATCCATTAATGTCTACATATACTGTAATTACAAATATTTATACTCTTTAAAGTGTGATACATCATGGACAACAGTGATGTTTAAGTCTAGGGAATGGTGACTAGAATTTCATACCTTACTGAGAGGTTAATTGTATAAACAGAGTAAGGACAATATATCATGTCAAAACATAATAATATCCTCATGCAAAACTGTTTTCCTCTTTTAGCCCTTAGGGAAATTTTGTATCACCACAATGTACATATAAATCCAAAACAATTATTGTGTGAAAAATTTATCATGAAATTTTAAGTGAAAAAGAAAGCCAGATAGAAGTTAAGAAACACTTAAAACTGGAATTAATGTTGTGTGTGGAAATTGATGGAGCAATTAGATTGATTTATATTATTCTTATACTGTGACTTTAGAATTTTCTCATGAATACATAAAAATTTAAAATAAAATATGAAGTATTACAACATAAAGTTCAGTTTCTTCATAATGTGGTAGCATATAGTAGTGAAAAACAAAAGATACCGAATTGGCGCTTATTGTGGTGCTAAAGATAATTAATTCCATAGACATGACACATAATAATTCTTGGTGAAACAGTTTGAAAACTATTTTATATGAGAATATTATTAATCTCATATGGTATGAGAATACTATATGCTTCAGAGATATAAATTCAGAAATATACATTACAGAAAATCCTGTTGAAAGAATTTCCTATTATTTGAAGACTTTATAATTCATCATCCATTCAGTTGTCAGTCATAACCTTTATGCATTCCTCCATTGTACAACTAAATCCAAACTACCAGTTTTCACAGTTCAACTTGCTAAATCTTTACTTCAATTAATTTTTATTTACTGTGCATATAGTTTTCTCTCTGCATGTATGGCTGCACACCGGAAGAGGGCACAAGATGGTTGTGAACCACCATGTGGTTGCTAGGGATTGAACTCAGGACCTCTGGAAGAGCAATCATTGGTCTGACGCTCTGAGCCCTATCTCTAGACCTGCTTCAGCTAATTTTTATCTACCTCTAACCTGGAATGTCCTTGAATAGACATTACTCTTACAATTCTCCTATCTATAACAAATAACAGTTTTCTGCACACAGGTCTCTTCACAGATAGTAAAACAATAAATTTATTTCATTTTGAATCTTAGTTACAAATTTAAAACTTAAACTTTGATTTTATGGTATATATTACCTTACCAAAATTAATGAGTTAGTAAGACAACATAAAATATTTGTAGAAATATTAAAATTTTTAGGTATTAAATGTTAAAACATTATCTTATGCTTGCAGGCAAAAATGTCCCAAAAAAGAGCACTTCATGAGGCATTTCAGGATACTTTACTTGCTATAGAATGATTAGACTCGATCCATTGTACTCTACATGGACAGCAGTAATGACTCTGATACGATTTATCCAAAGCCAGAGTGGCTTCTCCATGCCGTAGTGGTTTGATCGGGAAAGTAACCTAAGCAATTGTTTTTGAGCCTGGAATATGCTCTGTGTCATTCTCAGCTCAGACTTTACCCTTTCACTTCAATTTGTATTTTCACTACTTGGAGCCTTTGTGAGTCAGGATTGAATTCACAACAAAGTTCTCAGGACATACCAGAATATAACCAGATTCTTTGCCAGAATATACACTGGCCTACTTTCTGATATAGTCTTTGTTCTACTCTGAAGCCTTGTGATCTGAATCTCTAATATTTGTGCTTCTTTTTCATTTGTCTTCAAATCCCACTACATTAGTCCACTAAGCTCAGCTTTTACCCTTAATTCAAACTCTTCATCATCATGCAAACAAGGTCCAAAGACCTAAGAACCACATGTTCAGGTTTACAACTGCAATGGTTCTACTTCCTGATGTCAATTTCTTGTATTTGTTACTGTTCTACAGCCTTGATAAATACCCTTACAAAAGCAGCTTTATGAATTAAGGGATTATTTAGCTTCATAATTCAAATACACTATCATAGAATTCATGACACTGGCAGTTTGAGGAAGCAGCTCACATCGTCTCAGGATTCAAAATCTTCGATTAAAAGCATGTTCATGCCAGGTAGATTTTTCCTTTAAATATAGCATGAGAGACTGCTGCTTACTTTGAGAGTGGATCTTCCAAACTCAACAAACTAGATAATTTAGATAATCTATCATAGACTCAGATATTTCAAAAAGTTAACATGATTTATATTACCCTTTACAGGCATGACTTGACATTTACATTTTAGGTAATAATAGACCCTGTATAATTGGCAATAAATACTAAGCATCACAGTTTACAATCAAGAATTAGAGAAGACTCAAAATAAGATTGGCTGGTGTACAATGGTGGTCTGAAGAATTAACTTGACAGTATATTTTCCTAAGAAATTATTGAAGGCAAAGAAAACTTAGGACTAGGGAAGAAATAATATAGTGAAATTCTTATTTGCAAAAATGAGGACTTGAATTTGATCATAAAAAGCCACATACTAAGAAGAGTGTGGTAATCCACATGTTTGGAGCTTGATATTGAGCTAACCTAAGCTAATTAGTATATTCCAGCTTCTCAGGGTAGCTTGTGTTAAACAGCCATAGGGACATCTTCCAAGGTGTGACATCTGAGACAGACTTCTGGCTTCCTGAAACATTTGTACACATGAAAACATATTCTGCCATACACACAAATATGCACAGATTCCTACAACTATATGAGCACATTTACAAAACATAATCACAGCTTTTTTCATAGTTACACCCACTGAGTTGAAACTGAGCAACAGCCCTGAACAGAATAAATGTCTGTGGTTATTTTTTAATTTAAAATTAGTATCTAAAGTGTTAAGAATTTCTATTGGGTACTCAAGGTATCATAAGGAAAAAAAGAGATATTCCAAAGGGAATTCTTTCCCAAAAGAACATAGTACAGGGAAGGAGACCAGGTGTTTTTGATAAATGCACTCATGTCGATAGCTAAATATGAAATAGTCTCACTTTGCAGTTGACATCGATGTGTAAAATCATTGAGTGACTTATCAAACAAATAAGTTCCACTTTCTGTCTAAGTCTAGAAAATTCCTTTTTGTGCCACGAGAAAGCACAAGGAATGCCAAACCATCTATGAGTTCTGAGCAATGTACTCAAAAAGTCCACTTAAAAATTTTAATATCATCCACAGTCTTTTTTATATATGGCCTCAAAAAGTAGGATGGAAAGGAAAACAGGCATTTTATAAATGCTTTCCACAAAATTTGGAAAACATTTTATAATAAGTAATTCCATATGATTGTTTTTCTTCTTTCCTAACTCTGAATAATATAGATACAAGGAGTATCTGTGGAAGAGTGGTTGACACTTCTGCAAATTCTGGAAAGTCTTTAATGGAAATGGGTGAGGTAACACAATGAAAATCACTTCTAGGTATTCATGCAATCTTGCAAACAGGGCTCTCTGGCAGCTGTCACAATTTCTCTGGACTTATGCTATGAGGAATCGGAACAGGTTTCTGAGTTTCCCCAGGAGACCACTCAGCTGTCAGTCCTAAAGTAAAAAACACCACAGCAGGGACTCATTTAAGAGTGTTAAATCCACAGAATTGCAGTATAACATTGATTCTGCCCATGCCATACTTACTAACTTTACTTGCAATTATGGAGAAATTATACTGTGCAGTGCTCTCTCTGTCTAGTAATTCATTTGTGGCGATGGTTCCTTCAGTTCCATCTATTGTAAAGTAGCTGTCCCCATCACTCTTCCAATCTATGAAGTACCTGTATGTGAACAGAGGAGATGCAAATGAGCAATGATTACACATGAATCATAATGGCAGTTAGGCTAACTTGACACAGTTCCTTATTTTTCACCCTGTAGCTATTACCCACCTTGCAATAAAGAAGAGTGTAAATGACAGCTTCTTTATTGTAAAGTCAGTATGCTCAAGGGGAAACTGGAAATAATGAAAGATTTAGGATTCTTGCTGTTCATATTATTCTAGGGTCTTGACACTTTGAAAGCTCAGCAGAGACTAACATCCTAAAGCTGGCCATGGTTTTCCTTAACCTGCTGAATATTAAAACTCTCTCAGGTAGTAAAAGAACTCCTCAATTATAGCAGTGGGAAAGGTGAGGGATGGAGAGAGGTGTCTGGAAACTACTAAAACTCTAGGCAGAACACACACAGTCTTCCTGTTTCCTTGAGAGGAGAAAAGATAACAGTACATGAAGCAAACAAAAATAAACTGAAATTTCAGAGATTCAACAAAATTGTTTCCCCTTAACTCGTGATGTCTTTGTAACTTTTAAATTTTCTAGTATCCTTGGTCAGATAATATTTTCTCCTCTGTAATACCTAGAAGAAAAATCCAAGAATATGAAATATAAAACAGAAATTAAATATCCTTAAATATTCAGATAAAGAAATACATGTTGGATGACAGAGATCTTTGTCACAATAACCAAATAACATTTTTTACAGTGTTGGGTTAAGATCCTAGAGCTTTGAGCATGTTATAAAAAAGCGCTGGCACTGAGCTACACATACTCAGACCAGGAATTTTAAAACGTTAAAAGCTAACCCTGTTTCCATGACTTATTTATATTTCCTCATCCCCATAACTGTCCACATTGACCGTTATTGTTCCTCTATACACGATATGAAGAAAACAAAGCTCTGAATATGAAAAGGAAAATCTGGGATTATGGACCAGTTTATCAGTATTTGTCACATAAACATCACTATTTTGCACTTACAACTTGAAATGGAATATTTTATTGGAAAGCTACTGTGATAACAAGGTGGCATAATATGGCATATACTTCCAAGGCTTTTGTACCATATGAGCCCCATAGAAGTTATTAAAAATAGTGGGCAAGGCAAATGATATTTTTCACTTGACCCACTGAACATTTCCATGCCACAAATGAGTAATTATTTTAATCTTGAAAAATTGGTTATCAGGCTATAGATTTGAGAAGTTGTATATAAAACTCCCATGATTCCTCTCATTGCACTGAGAGATCAAATCCTGTTTGCCTTTATAAATGACATGTCAATATCATTTAGTAACGGATCTCACAACAAGAAGTTATTGTTATTGTTGCAAGGTATGAGACATGCTGTTAATCTGCTTTTGATATCTTAGCTTCTGATTTATGATGTAGGAAAGTATTGGAGTCTCATAACTTCAGTGTAACAGCACTTTGGGAACACATCGCTCAAATACAAAAACAGTTATGGTGCTTTTAAAAGTTAAGGAGTACTTTTACATTTTCTGTTTCAAGCCCTTTTCTAAATAGCACAATGTTTTATCACAATTTTCTTTTTCTTGGCACCTCTATTCAACCAAATATGTGTCTAACTCAAAAAGGAAATTACAGCCAGTATCATTATTAGCTAATATTTTATGAGGCACCATTGATGAGGACTATGTTCACTGCATAATTGTCAAGAATCGACTGCACACTAAACACCATGCTAGAGGTAACTGTGTAACATGAAATATAATGCTCACCCATGATGATGTGCAGAGACACTTATCTACAGATGATCTCACCACCTGATATATGACCAGAAAAAGCCTTGCAATAGTGCCAAGGAAAAATACCTTGTATGAAATCTAATGCTTGAAGAAGAAAATCTCCCTGCAGCAGATGATTGGAAGGCACTAGAAAGCTGTATAGAAATGGTCCAGGCAAAGACTAGCAATCACAGATGAGAGAAAGTACTTATTTCAGGAAGCTACATTAGTAGAAACCCTAGGAATGAGCTATAGAAAAGTTAGACAGTTAGCTATTGTCAAAGAAATAAGAGAGTGGCACAATGCCAAAGTGATTTAGTTCCTGGATAGTTTGCATAGTATAATAAGGAGTTGAGGCTATACGTGACAAGTGACTCATTCTTAAGGGGAATAAACATCTATTGCTTTGAAAGGCACTTGTCGAACATTCAAACAAGACAACAATGATAGGTAAGCATTTTTTTTTTTCCTTCCAGATTCATCCAAAAGACAGAATAGCCTGGATAGCAAGGCCGCATTTGATTCAAGGAGTTTTGAGGATTGGTGAATATTAAGAAGGGGTATGCAGCCCAAAGGAGAGAAAATGCAAACACTCACTAACTAATTAGGATTTGGTAAAGATACAGAAGTGAAAGTGACTTGCTATGCTGTAGTGCACAGGGGTACAGAATGACGAATTAAGTCTGTATTCATGCATGTCTCAGGTAAACAGCAAAGACTTGTATTCTATGTAGGTGCATAAGATGTAAAAGAGTTTGTCTAGCAAATGACTAATATCAGGAATAATTTCTTAGCTCCTACAATATTTTCATATTGTGCCAAATATGAATTTTATTGTCCTTCACTTATTGTTACAGTTTTCTTTTCAAATACAAACTGTTCATATAATATCTTAAGTAGATTTGTCTTTTGAATGAGATGTTCTCCAAAAACTTGGATATTTGAATATTTTGGTCTCCAATTGGTAGCGTTGTTTGGGTTTGTTTAGGAGATGTGGTCTTGATTAAGTTTGTCACTCTGGTTGGACTTTCAGGTTTCAACAGTCACATGTCATTCCAAGTTCTCTCTCTGCTTCTTGCCTCTTGTTTGAAGGTGTGAGCTATCATCTTACTGCCCCACACACCTGTGGACATGCACAGCAATGCATATGTGAACACACACAAAAATGCATATTATCTTATTTAGGGCCATCAGCTTCTTCTGATCTGCTGACAACTTTTTCAATTTAAATAGAAAAAAATTAGTCCTCCATAAATCTTGAGTCACCTAATTATATATAAAATTGACATTTTGTTATCTGTTCTTTCAGAGAACATCCCATGATTGTGACCAAATAGAAATTTCACTTTATTCAGTGAATAAGCACCCATATAAGATACAATTAATTGTAATTCTATTCCTGTATGAGAAAACAACTAAAAATTAAAAAAAAACTTTACATGATAGCTATATAAAGTAATTGGTTCTTCTGGGAATTTCCCAAGGTAGAATAACACATTTTTAGAGTTCACAATGCCCTAGACTCAATCCATAGCACCAAATGTAGAAATAAAATTAAATTGCATAATTTAATGTTCTCTAATTTTTCTTAAGTACAGGTATAAATACATTAAGCAGAATAAAATATCTACCCATCTTTTTACATAAGTTTCATCTCTTAGTTTGATGCAGCAATCACATTAGTAGTGTGATATAATTTTGATTTCAAAGAAAAGTAGCATAGGAAACATTAATTTTCTTCACCTCCGGTATAATTATTGATAGTGTTTTTCCTTTCCATGCCTATTTTAATTGTCTCCTATGCAATGTAGAAAAAACTGTAACATTAACTGAGTTTGATATGCAATACAGGATGTTATAAAAATGAAATGAGATAAATAATTTGCTTAAGTATCCAATTATTATTATTCTAATTTACAGATGTACTTTCTATTTCTACCATCTTTCCTTTATATATTCCATAACCATACAAGTTGATTTATTAGTGTTTATATAATTTGTTGATTGATGAAAAAATAATCTCCATGTCACAAATGTATGCTTAATTCAAGCATTAAGGTGTGGTAAACATCAACATTCAATTGAAAGAAGCAGCAGGACAAACATCACTCATGAAACTTCGAAGTTTTCAACTTGGGGGTTAAACTATGAGAACAAAGACCCGGGCTCTTTAAAACACAGTGTCTTTTGCCTCTTCACTGTTTAATACCTCCCAACTTTTATGTATATCTCTTGGTGAGATTTGATACTTCTTTCTCTGGATGATATCTGGGAAGCATAATTATTACAAGCTGCACTATGGCTTAACTCAACTTTTTGCTCAGCTCAACAAACATAGCATCGTCTCACAGATGATCAAGTTTACAGCTGTGGGCTTACTCCCAGGTTCTAGTCTTTACCTGTTCCCTTTATGTAACTCACTGAAGTGTCTGTCTGACAAAATTATCAATGTTCAACAATGCCCATTTTTTTCTATTTTTTATTTAAATTAGAAACAAGTTTGTTTCATATGCCAATCCCAGTCCCCTATACCTCCTCTCCTCCACTGTTCCACAATAGTCCCCTTTCCCATTCACTTCCTAATCCCCAGTGAGGGTGGGACCGTCCATAGGGGATCTTCAAAGTCTATCATATAATTTGGAGAAGGGTCTAGAACCACCCCCCCTTCTTGTGTCTAGGATGAGAGAGTATCCCTCTATGTGTAATGGTCTCCCAAAATCCATTCATGTACTCAGGATAAATACTGATCTACTACCAGAGGCCACATGGATTGCCAAGGCCTTCTCACTGACACCCACATTCAGGTGTCTGGATTAGTCCTATGCTGGTTTCCCAGCTATCAGTCTGGGGTCCATGAGCTACACCTTGTTAAGGTCAGCTGTTTCTGAGGTTTCACCAGCCTGGTCTTGAACCCTTTGTTCATCACTTCTCCCTTTCTGCAACTGTATTCCAGCAGTTCAGTTCAGTATATAGCTATGGGTGTCTGCTTCTGCTTCCATCAGCTACTTGATGAAGGCTCTAGGATGGCATAAATGTAGTCATCAATCTCATTATTGGAGAGGGGCATTTAAGGTAGCCTCCCCATTATTGCTTAGATTGTTAGTTGGTGTCATCCATGTAGATCTCTGGACATTTCCCTAATGCCATATTTCTCTTTAAACCTACAATGGCTCCCTCTATTATGATACCTCTTTTGTTGCTCTCCTTTATTCTCTCCCCGACTCAAACTTCCTGCTTCCTCCTGTCCTCCTCTTC